CAGAGAACTGAGATCGATTTCGCTTAAGTTCAAACAAAAAAAAGATAACAGTTTGCCGGCCACTGTCACTGAACGGACAGGGAAATTGTCTCATCTTTACTTCTATGGCATCCTTCTGGAAGTGTCTTCTCACGAAAACTGACTTTCCCAGATACCATAGCTCTGGACTCAGGATTGGACACTGGGGGCCTGGGGACAGCGATACAGGACCTAACACTGTAGAAATGAATAGTCAATGGAGTTCCGACCAACCATAGGGAGGTCGAAGGATGATGATGATGAAGACCTTATAGCCGTTCAAGGCAAAGGGGCCTCCTTGAGAGAACACCCATTCATTGCGACAGAGTGGAATTCAGGGGCTGCTCGGTGATACTGGAACGTTACAGATGGAGAGATAGGGAGAGAGTGAGTGAAACCAAGAGACAGAGAGTTTGAAAGGCAGTGACACACAGCGGCAGACAATACGAGAAATAATAGATTTGAGTAGTTTGAGATGAAAGCAGTGATATTGAAGTGGCTGACATATGCAGACGAGGTTCATAACGAGATCATTTGCAATAGATAAAATAATCTATAGACAAAGGAAGGCACTGATACGAAAAGATGGATGATATAACAAAAAATACGAACAGGTAAAAATCGATACGATGATTCTGTTAATGGAAACTGATCGTAAAATTGACGTATCTACATAAACGCGCCAGCCATCTTATAACTGCATTGTGATATATATGAAAAGCATATAGGAACAGCATAGTATAAAGAGGGTGCGATGGAAAAATTGTCATCTAAAGGACGCAAGAATGAAAATAACACCGACATCTCATTTTAACAGATGCACAGGGTGCGATGGATAAATTGTCGTCTAAATTGCGCGACAGTGAAAATAGCACCGACCTCATTTTAACAGATATACAGGGTGCGATGGATAAATTGTCGTATAAATGACGCGATAATGAAAGTGACATCGACATCTTATTTTAACAGATGTACAGGGTGCGATGGATAAATTGTCGTCTAAAAGGCGCGATAATGAAAATGACACCGGCATCTCATTTTAACAGATATACAGGGTGCGATGGATAAATTGTCGTCTGAATGGCGCGATAATGAAAATGACACCGGCATCTCATTTTAACAGATATACAGGGTGCGATGGATAAATTGTCGTCTGAATGGCGCGACAATGAAAATGACACCGGCATCTCATTTTCACAGATATACAGGGTGCGATGGATAAATTGTCGTCTAAATGTCCCCAAAATTAAAACAACACCGACATCTCATTTTAACCCATGTACAGGGTGCGATGGATAAATTGTCGTCTAAATGACGCGATAATGAAAATGACACCATCTCATTTTAACAGTTATACAGGGTGCGATGACAAAATTGTCATCTAAATGGCGCGACAATGACAAGTGGTAACAAGTTTAAATTTCCTTAAAAATCATTTCATCACCAGTCACTTAACCTTACCAGAAGAATCAAAATTTTTAAACATGAAAGCTTTTTTGCAGCGATTTAAAATGTTTTTATTATAATCTCTTATAATAATAATAATATATATATATATATATATATATATCATAATAATAATAACAAATAATACTAATACTAATACTACTACTACTACTACTAATAATAATAATATATATATATATATATATATATATAGTCTTCGTGTGACGCGTTTTGGACTAAACTTGTTATATTGGTAGGACATGCTGAGTTGTGCTGCGAATTTTAAATTTATTTCTGCTTTTTGTTATACAATTTAGCCGATTTAATCTAGAGTCTTATATTTGCTAAATTATATATTCAAAGCACAAAAAAGAAAATAATTTTAAATTCCCAACATCTATCGTTCGAGCGCATGTGTAGTCGCACTAACGTAACAAATGTAGTCTTAAGATTTAGATTATGTCCTAAAAGATGAAACACGTCATACAAAAACTTTTTTTTACCCTTTGCCATTATTCCCCACCACTTCCATTATTTTTCTTCATAGATAAAAAACTATATATCGTTATTTCATTTAATTTAAATAAAAACAAAAAAACAAAAACTATCGGGACTAATACTATGGTAAGAAAACTACAAAAAATATAAATTCTGCATTTAATCTCCTTCGAAGTAGTCCCCTTCTCATTCCTGGAATTTCTTTTTTTGGGGATAGCGAGTGTCTGCCTCGTCGCATTCTCTGGGATATCCTCAACGTCTAGAAGTCTTGTTCCTTTAAGGTGGGATTTGTAGAGAGAAACGTTGCAAGGAGAGTGATCTAGGAAATATGGTTGTTGTCGAACCTTGAGAATGCTGAACTTGATCAAAAACTGCTGCACAAGCCAACCTCCCTGATGGTGTCGTGAGAGGAGCACACTCACTTTAGACTTTACTTCCAAACACTGGTATAAACAATGGAAGTCAGAATTCACATTTGATGCGCGACAGATTTCAATGTCAGTCTGTGACAAGTGGCTTCACTCTTCGGATTTTGGCACCATAGCAACAGCCCCGATAATTCTTGATCAGAACTCATAAATAATTATATATATATATATATATATATATATATATATATATATATATATATATATAAGTAAATGCTCAGTTTATAATAAACAATATTAAACAACATTTACTTAAATATTTGTATCTATAAAAAGAATGTATAAACATAAAAATGTCTTAAATAATTGTCGGACTTTGTTCCTTTCATAATGTTTAATTTTATTTGTTTACATTTGGATACGCCATGAGCAGATATGAATGTACGTGAGAGAATCATGGAAGATTGTAGTTTAAAGACAGTAAAATCGACCTTGCTAACCGAACGCTCCTCTGTGGCCAAATCGGAAAAGGCACGTCAAGCTAAATGAGGGTTCCGTATAGGATACAGGTTCGATTCCTGTCGGAGGACGAATATTTTCTATGAAAATTTCTCGGACATTCAGGCCGGTAAATGTTGTTTAATACTGTTTATTATAAACAGGGCATTTACTTAAATAGTTGTATCTATGAAAAGAATTTATCAACATAAAAATGTCTTTATATATATGACCCATGCCCTTTATGCCTACAAGAAAAACTACACATTATTAAGTTTTTAAATAATGAAAATTTATTAAACCATAGACATGAGGTAACGGTTTTTTGCCGACATCAACAAATGTTGGTATTAAATAATTCGCATAATGAAAACAAAAATTAAAATTTCAAGGTCTAATAAAACGTTTAGAAGCTTAACCCAATCACAAGATAAAAAAAAAAATCCTTTATGAAGTCGTCAAAAAAACAAATTGTCGTTCGGTGCGACGCGTTTTTGTACGAACAGTCCTTTTAGAAAAAAAAAATCTTCAGACACTTAACAGCCTACAACGGTGCCAATAACTGTCTGTCAATAAGACAGACTAGACAATGTGCGTATAGGAATGAAATGGACACCCCGGCCTTGCCTTGCTCTCTTTCCGAGGGTGACTGATATGTTGATACAAATTGTTAACCCTTACTGCCCCTATTGAACTGGTCGCTTCAGCCGTTTCCATAGTAATTAATTCTACGAATGAATATGCTTATAAAGATGCGTAAACTTCAAGATTAGTTATTTCAAAAAAATTCTCTTGAGGATGAAACAGAGCTTTTGGCTCGTTTTTTTTAAACATGAAAACTCTTATGTAGCGAAGGAATCATATTTTAAAAAGAATAATTATTATTATAATTTAGGCTCTACTTTTATATTGAGCACTGTTTTTTTAAAAATAAAAACAAAAATACTAAAGAAATTCGGATCATTTACCTAACATGTTCTTTCCTATTTTTCTATATATTTGCACACACACACACGCACGCACACACACACACACACACACACACACACACACATATATATATATATATATATATATATATATATATATAATCGACTCTCTCGTCGCGTTCGACGTATGAGGGTCAGGCCGATAAGTCCCCAGGAAACCGACATCCCGACACCGGCACATGAGATTTGTTTATAGTGGTGAAGGCCTTGTGCAGGACCAGCCACACTTTTTGGAGGGACGAATATATATATATATATATTGGCCTGTTTCTGAGGGTGACTGATATTTTGATACAAATTGTTAA